GTGTTACTGAACTGTCTGATTAAATAAAAGCAATAGAAAGAAATGTGCCTGTAGTGAAAATTTTAAATTTCCAATTTGTTGTGGTATGTTTACCATTACTTTTCACTTTAAATATGTTCTAAATATTTTGTTGTTTTAATTTATGTGTTCTAAATAAATTCAATGAAATAAATACACCCTTCTAATTTTTCCCTAAAAACCTCATTCAAAAAATTGGATGCATTTGAAATTCTAGGGCATCGTATATTTGAAGTAATACAATATTAATAGCTATTGCCACCATGCATATTACTTTCCAACTAGAGATGATAGTATTACATTACGTATTCAGTATGAAAATAAATTGATTAATGTAATGAAATCCTTATTTAAGGTTTCTTTACAGAGAATCTGAAAACTAAACAGCGGAAAATCTTGAATGGATGGAATTAACCTTTTTAATTATTGATTTGATCATTAAAATTGATCTTAAATTGAAAAAAATATCTTAAGTTGAGGAACATTAAACGTGGATTCCATAGCGAGTAACTCGGTGTAAACATTTTTTAGAAATACTGTCTAGTTCTGAACATGGTGTACAGCAACATGCCAGGTCTGTTGGACTCAGCATGACACTGGATTGGAATGCGGTCTTCTGAATGCTAGAATCAATTCAACAGAGAACCAGCTTGCCTTGAGTTATATTTATTTGAACATTTAACTGTCTGCCAAGTCCAATATCAATTTGCCTTTTTTTGTTCTAAACTTGTTGTTTTAAATCTTATGTTGGGACAGAATGCAAAAGTTTTAATGTCAGACCAAGTTTGATAGTTGACTTGAAAGGGGTTATTTATTTCTTTCCATTGCAGTGCAGGATATAGTTACTTAAAAAATGGTTTTTCTGGATTGGATTTATTTAGTGCTCAAGAATCTCAGTGAAATTAACATCTTCTGCATCTCTTGACAGAATTGACTGTATCCAATAAACTGGCCATATTTGCTTTTGGGGAAGATCAGTGTGAAATAAATGTGTTCTACCAATATTTAAAATTAAGTATTCATAAATTTTTACAGAAACAATTATGCATAAACATAGACACATTCTAACAGAAGAAGGATTATTTAAATTAAAATGGGCATAAAAAGGGTTATAAATTTTAACTTTGTCCCCTTTCCCATATGAAGGTTGTGTGTACTGTTAGCCTATGCAGTACTGAACATGGTAATATATTTGTTATAGGTGTCAATTGTTAGTGTAGGTTAGGTTCAATGTAATATTTTTGTTCAGAAATGATTATAATTTAAGATATTTGTTCTTATTTCAGTTATCTAGATAACAGAGTATTTGTCTCTTTGGCAAATGGTGACATCACCGTGTATGTGCGAGACCATAGTAAGTAATATTCATGTGTCTTTCTGCATGTCCATATTGTGGCCTTCTGGGTTGTGACAATATGCTGTACTCTGGTATGTGGGTACCAGCATTTTGGAATAATGTCTGTGAGGTAGCATGTACTATCAAAATGCTGGTACCCACTTGCCACACTACAGCATAGTGTCATGTTTCAAAGGATTGCAATACAGATGTCATTGCCATGAACATCTCAAATCTGTGTTTCTATTATATGAGGAATGCATTAAAGCAGTGATTCCCAGGTTGTATCCCATGGTTAGCTGTTAAACACCAGTAAAGTCAAGCAGTTTTTGCGTGGTACATAGTGCAGTGAAAGCTGAAATTCTGTATAGCAACATTCTATGCTGAACAGTATTAGTGTAGGTAAACAGTGTCACTGAATCCTTCTGTGAGTACAGCTGTCGGTATGTCAGCTGTTTTCTGGAATGTGACTCCAGGCAGTATGGTATATCATTAACAGCATTTCAGAGGAATGTGTTGCCTCCATCTTTAAGGTGGAAGAGTAAATCAATATAACACATTGTAACTTATTTCTTGTTTTGAGGCAGAGTCTTTCTTCAGGAGTTCCAGTTGTGGAATCTATCAAGAGATTCTTCATTCAATTATTTATTGGAGTTCGTCATAACACAACAACATAATGGTCAAGATTATGTTATGTTGAGATGTTATGATGGACTCCAGTAAGAAATTGTATATAATAACACCACAGGATGCACAAAACGAAAAAAAAAAAGAATAAAAGATTCTTCATTATGACTACAGTTTTATGCAATGTGGCAGTGCTTGTTTTGGTAGAAGGTTACCAATGTTTTGGAGGGCAGTTATGTTTCACATTCCAGGAGACCACAGTTTTAATATTCATCACCATGAGATCCTCAAATCTCAGATTTTCCATTGCTATGGAAACATACTGTTGAACACAGGGACCCTGTCCTCAACTGGTTCTCACTAGTACTACCTATTTCTCTTGAGATCCATTTTAATATTGTAGCATGTACAGTCATTGCTATGCAATGACTGTGAGATAGGCGAATAAACAACGGTATTATGCAACCCATTTCAAGGCAAGGGATCAATAAACACATCCCCGCTGCAACAAATATGCCCTCAACAATAGAGTAACTGTTGGTAACAGTGTTTACTACTAGTTCATGCAAAGGGGTTATAAGGAAGACATTTGGGGCAACCCAGTCAGTTGAGAGTTGAATTCTGTGAGGGAGGCAGAGGAAAGATGGCACTATAGTTCAGTTGTGGGATATTTGCCAGACAGTAAAAATGTGAGCACAGAAGCTGAAGAATCTCCATAGTTGTGAGCTGTTACCAAGCAGTTACTAGTGAAGACACTGCAGACTGTAGAAGACTTAATGTGTAGTGATTTGTAAAGTGTGGAAATCAGCATTAGCGCTTGCTGTAATTACTTGTAGTTCCGAGTGATGTGTATAAGTGGTCACCGTCCATGCCCCGTCTATAGTCACACTCATACAAATAACAATATCATCTTTCCACCTCTGCCTGGATTTCTTTATGTGCTGTCCTTCTATGAGTTTTTTTTTGACACAAATTTTGTGTAAATGTATTATTTTTATGATAATTTTACTGTTTCCTCACCCAGTATTTGAACACATTTGTCATTCAACTCTGAATTTATTTATTAGGCAAATTCATAATGTAGTGAAATTCTCTGAAATTTTAAAGAAATAGTCTTGATATTGTTATTCATGTTGACTTTCATTCCAAAATGATCAGAATTTTATGTTCAATCCAGAACAGTCATACATACTGTATGCACAATTGCATGATTATTCTTATGAACAACTGGTGCATTTTTCTTAAGAAACGTATATTTTTTGTAGAGTATATGCGATTAATGAGCTTGACAATGAACAGCTTACATGTTTTATTGCATTTTCTTTAGCAGATTTAAAAAGAAATGTGACTTTAATGTGTGATTATCTCTTATGCAAAGGGAATCTTGGAGAAATGGGTTTTCATTATAAGTCCCTATAATATGATTACACTAACACATGATTATGTAATTTTTCAAATCCATTTCATTTCTTTCACTTATATTCCTCAATTTTGTGTAATGATCAGGAATCTTGAGCACACATTGCTCAAATAAGTGTCCTTGTTGCAGATGGTGGCTGGAATACAACAGACCCATTTACAGTGTCAGTGGGGACTGCAGCGACTCCAGTCACAAGGATGCTGCCAATAGCAGGCAAACTGTGGTGTGGCTGTCATAATGCTATTAAGATACTCAACACTGCTTCATTGGAAGTGGAGGTGAGACTGATTGAGTCTTGACAGCAGTATACAGGACATGGCGAACACAATCTTTGCTTGGTGCAGCTACAGTTAAAGTAATCTGAATTTAATATTAGCATTTCCTGTTCTATTTTTTATTTATTTTTGCTCTACTTCACGTTTAATGCAGTTGCTCACATAGTATGAAAGGTAGGATGAATTGGAAAGGATGTGGAAGGAAGTGGTCTTGGCTTAATTTAGGGTACTCTCTTGTCTTTTATCTGTAGAGATTTATGAATACCACTAAAGACAACGTTAGTCATCTACTCTTTGAGTCAAGATTTGAACTCAGAACCTCCTTAATATAAAGCATAAATGTTAACCACTTGACTACAATGTTCAGTTGCATTTTCTACTGTAATGGGATATTATTTTGATCAGATTTAATATGTTGTACATTCACCTATCAAAATTGTTCAAATAATTTTGTTGGTTTCTTAGATGTTTGGCCATCTCATGTATCCATGCTTTTCTTAATATAAACCTTACAGAACTAATGACAGTGAGTGTTTATTGTGACGTATTATCTGCATGAACATGTGAGATTTGAGGTTCTAAGCAGAGAATATTAATGTCAGGGCCTTCTGAAATGTGATGCCATATGGTTTGGTAGATAGGTACAGTATTTTGGAGGAAGCTATTGTTATCATTTTCAGGTTTGAAGATGGTCAAAGTCAAAGTCACTTTATGACTGATGGTTTACCACCAATCAGTTCATCTTGGAGTCAGGCCGCTTGAGGCCCACGACCAGAGATTCTTTTGTTCAACTGAGTCTTTGCGATAATAGTCCCTATGTAACATCCTCTCTGACAAGAAGATGGATTTGGCTCTTATGAATATGATTGGCGTTTTGTCAAGTATGTATTTCGCACATATAGCATGTTATTGAAAATTCCTCCTTTTGTGCTACACACATGTCCTCGTGTCTTAAAGATGGAAGCAGCAGATCCCCCTTAAATGTTTGTACCTGAACAGCATCACATCCCAGAAGACCATAACCTGATATTAATATAGATTCCTGTTTGCCAGTTTTCTCTTATTTCCCACTGTAGTGCAGCATTGTGATCACTGGATACATTAAAGAATTGTCAAGCAACAGAACAGTTGCAGAAATAGATCAGTATTGCACTCAGAACCTTTGATCTCATGAGTTGAGGTTGATTTACTGATATGATGTTGCAGCATTCATTCCAAGTGAACTCAGACAGTAGTCGAGCTGTGACGTGCATGGCCCTGTCGGGTCTGGGTGTATGGATCTCCCTGCAGAACTCTGCAGTCATTAGGCTGTTCCACATGATGTCATATGAGTCGTTGTGTGATGTGAATGTGGCACCTGCTGTTACTAAAATGTTAGCCAGTAAGTAGACAGTGCAACAGTACGCAGTACTCTCTGATAAGAGAATTGAAATATTTCTGATGCTATGAAAGAAAGCTGAAGCATTTTGTTTAGCAACACACCGTCCTCATTTGGACATATGTGATCTCATTAAAATGACTGTCTTCTGGGATCTGATTGGTAGGTAGGTACTGACGTTTTGTTGGAATCTGCCACCATTGTCTTCAGGGTACAAAGTTACTCAGAAACACTGATATTGTGTACTATCACATCCCTGGATAAGTAATCTTCACTGTCACTGCCATGAGAACATCAGATCTCTGTACTGACATGATGATCACATGCAATTTCATGAAAAATTCTCAGTTCAGAAGTCATTAGTAGGTACATATAGACACATACATTTTGATACCATAAAAACCTACTTTCCTTCATGAACAAAAGAGTTGGTGATAAATGGACTTCTGTATATGTCATAACCATGCCTTATTTATTAATTTATATATGGAAATTGTGAATGATGTCTGATTTTTGGGACTGGTCTACAAATTAAATTCTAGGTTGGTAGAAATCATTTACTTACAGGATTTATTTTAATGGCATCATAATTTTATTTCACTGTGATGTATCTTTATATACACACACATGCACGCGCACACGCACAGCACCCCTGAATTATGGACATTTGGGTTGCAGAATTTTGCCCTTATAAAAAAAAAACCTAAAGGTATCCCTGTAACAGGCCGTGGAGGCCCATAGGGTTGTAAGATGTTGAGGTTCCCCACATAGATGGCAGTAAGGTTGTCAACCTTATGTGCTGGCCCCCCTTGACCCGCAAGAATATTCCAAGAATATTCCTTAGTTAGAGGCTGATTCGACCCCATGGCCACGGTGTGGCTGAAAGGATTAGGTAAATTGAAAAATCCACCTCATTGGGATTCGATCCCACGACCTTCCAGCTTGTAGTATAGTGCCTCAACCAACTATGCTACCATGTGCCCTTTTGGAAATCATAAAACATGGCCTTGACTTTCCTTATTTAGGTTGTTTAGGTACACATAAAATTTCTTGTAAACAGTAACTGGAAGACAATAACAGATTGACTTGGTGACGTAGCAGGGTATGTACCTGGCCACTGGTGAGCTTGTATGCATGCATCTGTGATGCAAGGGGATGGCTGGTAGCATTGGTGCTATTCCTACGCAGTGAGTAAATTATGCTTCTTATCACAACAGAGGACTGAAAAGTTTCTATATGAAAGCATCTCCACTTATAACATGAAAGTTGGTGGAATTTCACCAGTGCAGATACGTTTCCAAGAACACATTCCTTCCATAATACAGGGACATGTTGTAGTTTCAAACTTTATTTCTTTAAGTTCCCTCTGATGACCCTATAAACCAATGATCTCGTATGCTTTACATGTTCAGGCTGTGATGACATAATTCGACAGCACAAGGCAGCATGTCTTCGTGTGACATCACTTCTTGCCTGCAAGGATCTGCTCTGGATTGGTACGAGCGCTGGAGTTATTCTGACAATGCCACTGCCCCACATTGCTCCTACCACAACCAAGCTGTCCAGTGTACCCAGTGCTACAGGTAACATAAAATATTGTCACATATTTAATTATTGGACAAAGGGTTTGGGTTGGTAATTGGATTCATTGAATATTTACAGCTTGTAACTACAAGTACTTACAATACAAAGGGGGACCCAAAAATAACCGGAAACAACCTGTTGTGCGCGC